AAAAAAATATTCCGACGAACTGATAACCTCCTCCTTTTTTGGAAGTCGGTTAAAAAAAGGTCCGGAAAAGTCGGGAGGAGTACCAAACGACGCATTTCGGTCCTCCTATTAACAATCCGGAGGGGGAGAGCTAATATTATTAACCATTTAAAAGTTATAATCAAAAAACTTTTGTTAAATTTCGTTGTTTTGTATGGGCAATTACCCCGACGAAAATTCACTACATCACATGTTCTCACTTTTTAAACACTATTAAAATATATAATTTAAAATAATTATTAAAAAACACATAGTTTTAACAACCCAAGATAGATTATGTTGTTACTAAAAAAAGTTGACAAAATTAGCGAACTGAAGCGCGAGATTCCAAAATAGCTATAGTGCTGCCACTGTATTAGTATTTCGTAATAATTCACTTTTCCTTACAAGGTGTGTGCAGTGTTCAATACTTTTCGGTATCTTCTTTCATTTAATATAAATATAAATAATGAAAATTTTTAAAAAATCGAGCGATTTTTTATGAAAAATTTTCGCCTGCGGCGCTTTTTCCATAAAGATCAATACTTCGATAAATAATCACGCGATTTATTAAAAATTTTCGTTATTTATATATATATTATATTTTGACGTGGTAATTGCTCATAGAAAACAACGAAATTTAACAAGTTTTTTGTTTATAACTTTTAAATGGTTAATAATATTAGCCCTACCCCTCCATATTGTTAATAGGGAGACCAAAACGCGTCGTTTGGTACCCCTCCCGAGTTTTCCCGACCCTTTTTAGGGGTTGTTACCCTATACTAGAGAATTATTGTTTTATGTCAATAGGAACGACTTCCTGTAAGTTCTGACTGAAAATATGTTCACATATCAATATTATCTCAATCAAAGCTCGTTTTTTAATCACCCTGTTTACACAGGCAAATCTCAGATTATTAGCCATCAAATTTGTTGTGCTTGTTATTCTCACATCTCAAGGAAAATTTATGTTTCTTCTCTGTGCCACCGTGATCACGTTTTTCTGCTATAATAAGCAATATAAATATATTTTAACTTAACATTTTATTACAAATACCTTTACAAACCTCTTTTACTTGCTAGGGTTGCATTTTTGATTACTTTTACATTTGGCATTTCTCCTCTCTTTCGCAAAAACAATCGATAGAACTAGGACGGACACCGAAAAGTTATCGGTTAAATCTGAGATCATTTTATAATTACAGATTAACAAGGGACGAATTTTATATGGCTAACCCTGCAAAAATCGTTGGACCATGTGGTCTATTTGTGGTATATTGGAGTACTAACAAAAGTGTTCCTCTGTCATGCTGTAGCGGACCAACTCGTGTCTCTACGCCAGCTTACTGTTTGTTACCCGATCACTGCTCGTGTTTTAAGAAATGTGATTGAAGTTGAGCATTTGAACGCACATTTGCATGTCTGGCTGTAGCTGAACGTGTCGAGATGCTCGCTGTTAGTTGTTAGCTTCCAGCATGTTCAGGTTCGAATGCCGTCAGAGGCAACATGTAATTTTTAATTTTTGCTTTTGGTTTTTATAAGTTCGAAAAAGAATCTGAGAAGTGAAGACAACAAGCATGTACAAACGAAATAATTTAACAACAATGCCATTGTTAATATGATGGAGTAGTTTTGTGCTACTCTGAAGTATTGCAGGGATGGAGTATATGGTCCTGCCATAGGACATCGCAATGTTAATTGGACCATATTTTTTATTTGAATTGTGGTTAATTTTGGAGTACTCCTTGGCCCTTAGGGACTACTCTTTACACGCATGCATGGAGTAGTCGCGATTTTTGCAGGGAATCTCTTGTTCTAATTACAGATTAGGGTGTTAAGCTCGAAAATGAGGATAATCTACTTATATGTGAACCTAGTATTAATCCTGTAAACCGGACTGCTATTGGAACAGACTAACTATTTCTTACTATGTCCTAGTGTACTGGAACAAACTAAATATGAACTGGCACTTGCATGATGTGACACGTCGCTATGTTTTATAGTTCAACATTTGCAGGCCTATAATATTTACCTTTATATTTGCGAGGGCAATATCATGTCAGCCAAAACAGTAGAGCAGCAGGGACGTCACTATTTTATGCTATCAATTGGGCCAACTTAAATCAAAAGATAAAGATAAAAGAAATAGCTAATTGATGTTTAAAATGAATTCCTTCCGATAATTCAATAAATAGGATTTAATACCGTAGTGTAGTTTGTTGTAGGCATATGGTATATGCTTCTTTATTGGTATATTTCCAGGTTCCGCTTTGTTGACTTCTTCACTATATAAGTATGAATGTATGTTTTATGTACACCTAGCGTTCGCTTAATACCTTTTACATGCGATTTGTCCTAATATAAAATAACACAAATCGGTAAAAAACTAATAATTTGAAAAAGTTTTTGCTTTTGGCATCTTTCAGTTTTCATTAATCATCTTATTCTAAAATTACGAGTAGTTTAATTTAGCATATGGTAAATAGAAACTCCGCCGACAACCTACATACACACATATAAACATTTCACCAAAGGTGGGGGTATGGTATTCCAAACTATGAACCTACACGTTGCAATTTATAAATGTTTACCCGGTGGTATTCATTTGCTTTTAAATAATTTCACAATATATTCTGGATACAACGTTTCTATAATAAAATCACACAAATCCCTTAAAGGATTACCAGATTTTTTTTCAAAAGCGCAGCAATCGATCAATTGAAACCTGGACGAAAATCAACATAATCGCACCTACTTCCAAGTAGCTAGAGTTCGGAAAAAATCGATAGTAATATACGAATAATCTATCGTGTTGACCATCGATGATTTATACTATCGTTTTGACTATCGGTAGCTTAAAGTTTCGCAAGTGGGGGAAACTTTCCTTTACTGGGACTCTATTCTGAATCACCCGATTTACATGATTCATGTACTTGAAAGCAATTCTTGCTCATTCTCTTTTGTGTTTTCTATTTGCTTTTACACGTTTCAATTCTGTTGAATTCAAGTTTTTGGTTCTTTAAATGGGAAGCAACGAAAATGCCAAAAGCAAAGCAAGAAAGTTGAAACGACTTGACGGTACAGACGCATGGTTTAAAGATAAAGATAATAATTGGATCATGGTACAGATGCATGTGTACTCGTCCCTTTTCTTCTCACCCCCTCTCTTTCACATGCGAGCAGAATTGAATTCAATACTTGTGTAAAGCCAGTCTAACTGTGAGTTTTCAAGTGTACACTGAAAATTGTATACACTTCCTCATTTTGCGATTCAGCATGTGTGAGAATGAGTTTTAACTGTCAAAATTGTGTACACTTCTCTTCCGAAAAAACTCACTGAATTTTAGTCGGTTAGTTTTTGGTTGTGAGTTTTGCACTCGGTGTACACTACATTTTCTCAAAGTTACAGAATAGAGCCTCTGGACTTCGTCCCTCGGTTCGTAAAGATGCCTTCTGATATGCTTGGCGAGGGCTCCTCTGCAAGCAGGTGTCTGTCGGGATGCCCATGGGTGTGGCGACCTACTAAGAATTGCTTGCAGAGCGTTGTGTTGTGCTCGTTTATGGGGAGCATTTTTGCCTCGTCGTGTAGGGGGTGCTCTGGCGACATCAGAACACATCCGGTCACTATCCGTAGTGCAGTGTTCTATGTTGTCTCTAGTTTCAGCCACTGCGTCCTACTGGTTCCTGGCGACCACACTGGCGCTGCTAGCTGGCCAATTGCCTTGTATGTTGCCAGCAACGTTTCTTTGCCTTTGCCCCAAGTACTGCCAGCTAGCGACTTGAGAACCTTGTTGCGACTCTGTACTTTGTTGACAATTGCAGACTGTCGAAGGTTACTCCGAGTATTTTTGGGATCTTCACCATCGGAATTGGTGTGTCATCAACGGGATTACCCAGCGGTGATCTGTCCTCCGTCGCCCAGCTGGTAAATAAGGTCGCAGATGATTTTGTAGGGGAGAAGTTTAGACTCCTTGCAGTGAAGAGGCGAGAAAGCTTCGAAAGATACCCGTTTACTTTCGAGCACAAGTCATCAATTCCGTTCCCAGACGCCATTATCGAACAATCGTCCGCGTAGTAGACCCTGGTGGTTGAGGGAGCTTAAAAATATAATTGTTACACAGTAATGGGGAAAGGACACCACCTGTGTTTCATTTTTGTAGGTTTTCTCAATTTGTCTCACTCGGAGAGAGTAAGTTGTGTTCATTTACTCCATTCATTTGCGTGAAATTCGTCAAAATATAGCTTCTAAAGTGCAAGTATTTGTTTTTTTGCAAATTACTCTTTAATTAATTAAAAAGTTAATTTCCGCTCTCGGATTATTATTGTTGGCGTTAAAACGCGTCGATTGATACTCTTCTCGAAATTTTTCATAAATTTTTGGGCTGGTCAAGCCAGTGATCTAACTGGCACTGAAAAGCTGGCAGTAACGTTACATGTTCGAACATGCAGAGCTACTTGCAAGGCTACTGGCAACGAAATTTGAAAGACAGGGTATTCACTTAAACTCGCAAAATCTTAAACGGTATTTAAACTCGTAAATTTACGAGGCTGTTACAGGAACGCCCCCCTTTTGCAAATGTGTAAATAGGTGCGTAAAGTGACTGTTTGACAAGTTGAAAAGGGTTCTGTGAATAAATCCTCTCAGCAACAATGAAGTTTGAGGAGGTCGTTTGCGCATCAAATTTGCCTCGTAAATTTAGAAGGGGCTCGTAAATAGTGCTGCATACAAATTTTCACAGTTTTTTTACGAGGCTCCTAAATTTACGGGCTCTACGAGGTTTACGAGGCTTTTGCGAGTTTAAGGGAAGACCCCCAGTAAATTTTGACACATGCTGC